AGCCAGTAACAGATTTATATTAAAGCTGCTACTGTTACCACATTAAAATGTCTTGCACAGTATATAAATACTGAAAATAATTCAGAAATATTCTGTTGCATTAGACTCATGCCCCAAATATGCTTCAAAGGTATGCTAATACTAGCATTTTCTGTCACAAACCCCAAAGAAACTCTTTTTATGGTTTAGACCGGTTTTGCCCAACCTTGCCCACTTTAAGATGATTGGATTTCAACTCCCAGAATTCCCCAGCCAGCATGGGAGTTGAAGTCCACTCATCTTAAAGTGGCCAAGTTTGGACAACACTGGTCTAAACCATAAAAAGAGTTTCTTTGGGGTTTGTGACAGAAAATGCTAGTATTAGCATACCTTTGAAGCATATTTGGGGCATGAGTCTAATGCAACAGAATATTTCTGAATTATTTTCAGTATTTATATACTGTGCAAGACATTTTAATGTGGTAACAGTAGCAGCTTTAATATAAATCTGTTACTGGCTAACTGGTCCATGGAATAATTTAAGCTGAATGTTATGGAATTAACATTTTTCCTCAGCTCTTGGCTTTTTGTGTATTTACAGAAATAAATACATAGAAACATGAAGATATATGTTTTCAGTATTTAAAAGCTTTTAAAATGTGTCTCTGATGACTGAGCCGGTTAAGCCTAGAATAGGTGAAAATATTTTGTTCTGTGTGACAAGAGGTAGAATTTTTAGGAGGCCTTATCAGGAACCTGGATAGAAATACCCAATTCTGATTATTCCATTTTTAATGTAAAATATTATACTCCAATAATTCAGTCAAATTGAAACTTTAATCAAATAACCACTACAAAAATGTGGGATGATTTAAGTCAATGATGTTTAAAATAATTGTATGGAAAAAAATGCATATTTTTCAGGGAGGAAGAAGTAGCAATGATTGGGGGCTTTTAATTACTCCCACATCACTGGGAAACTAACTTTTCCAATCATGGAGTCTTCAGGAAATTCTCAGCACGCCTTGCTGATAGGAAAGCACAAGAGGATCACTTTTCCTAAACTTGATACCAACTAACAGGAGAACTCATTGACCAAAAATCAACTCAGAAGGAACATTGGATAATGAGTATAGTCAAGCATGTTCCTTGAATTTCAAGAAGACCAGCTTTAATAAAGTCAGAGCAGAACTTTTTTTTTTTTTTTTTATATATATTTTTTATTTTTTACAACAAACACATACAAACAATAACATAAAAAACATTAAAAAAAACCATCTTCCATTTTA